AAGTAGTTGTAGTTCGCTACTGTAGCGAACTACAAATTTCAAGTAGCCAGTAGTTTTTGACTACTTTTTTAAAACAGTAGCTGTAGTTATAGCGAACTACATTTTGCCTAAAAGTAGCCAAGTAGTTGACTACTTTTCAAACAGCAAATCGCTATTCGCTACTTTTTAAAAATGTTAGCAACTTGATAGAATAGCATGATATTGACACACGGTTTACTTAAAATCAATACTCAATAGTCAATTTACACTCTTGAACACTGTAGTTATTACAAACATGTTGCTTTGTGTTTACTGTTGCTACTCGTAAGTCGATTTGTTATAGGTTACATTTCAACCTGAGTTAGTAGATGCTCCAAATACAGTAAAACTAAAAAAGATAGCGTAGCGAAATAGCGAAATAGTTCGCTACATTTTTTAAGCAGTAGCTGTAGTCAGTAGCGAACTACGTACCTTTCTTCAAAAGCAGCAGTAGTTGTAGCTGACTACATATTTTTGAAGTAGCTGTAGCTATAGCGAACTACAAAAATTTTGTAGTCAACCCACCCTTGCAAATAATGTATATATGTGCTAGCAGCGTGGCTAGATGTTATATGCATAACCTGTGGGTCGCAATGTGAAAAGTAACTAGTCTGACAGTTCGTCAGTAATGGGTGATTCCAGCTTATAGACTAAATTTTGATCAAGGCAAGAAGGACGAAATCCAACACCGCAGCTAGAAAGAGCGTCTTAGAATGAGTAAAACTGCAAAGACTGGTCGCTACATGTTGTAAAATGAAGAAAATATAGCCCTGTGAAGTTCGCAAATTTGTGTATATTTGTATTACGCGCGGTAAAAATAACCACTCTCGGCTCAAAAATGGTTATTTTTCCCACGCGTAATGCAAATATATACAAAATTTGCGAACTTTACCGGGCTATATTTTCCTCATTTTACAACAATTCGCAACCAAACTTTGCAATTTCACTCATTTTAAGATGCTCTTTCCAGCTATGGTAATGGTTTTCGTTCTTCTTGCCTAGATCAAAACTTCGTCTTTTGCTGGGATCATCCATTGATTTTTTCTATTTTGTCTAACATTTGGGGATCGCAGAAATTGGCGCAAGCTGTTGCGATTGCCCTAATAAATTAAATTATATTATATGTTAGGACACTAGTCTTTAGTTCACTTTTTGTTTAGTACAAAACTTACGCTACAACTGTTTCCAAACTGACTCCAAACACTCCACTCGCTGATACAGAACGTCTGTGATGAATACCTTCCAATGTTGTTGAATACTGGATTGACACCATGATACAACCCTGGTTTTAAAAATATATACAACTTTGTTTCACTGGCCGGCACTTAATAAAAGTGGGAATTTTTGAAAGAAAAAAAAAGAATATTTTTACCTGCTTGTCTAAGATAACAGTGTAGTCGTGGTAGTGACAGCTACCCAGGTCATCTTTCTCCAACTAAAACATGAACTTGTGGTTAATGTTCGAAAACTTGACTCTGTAGCTAATTTGGTTAGAGCGCTGCACCAGAATCGCAGGGCCGCAGGTTTGACTATAGTTGCAGTTTCTGCAACTATTCCTGGTTAGGTTTAAAAATAGGCACGCTAGGCGTACATGTATCTGCGCAAAGGAATTGCATGGTTGCTATGAAAAAAATTCATTCACAATTATTGAGTAAACATTTATATTTGATGATATGACGAATGTTCAGATTGCAGTATCTTCTCTACCGCAATCAACTGTCAGAAAGCCACCATTTTTATAATAAAAACAGATAGAATAAGAGATATATGAAATGGGTACATAATTGGTACCCACATTTAAATAAGATAATTACCTGTATTAACAATGCTATCCCAGTTAAACCTAATAGATTGTATACTTGAAAGTTCTGGACTTCAGACACTCACTTTAATGGTTCCCTGACCACATAATTCATCTCCCATCATTCGAGCTCGATTATAACACAACACTTTGATAAACTGCGTCCCTTCAACTTCAATGTGAAAGCCCTAGTTGGATATACAGAATACATAATGCAATACTCCAAAGTGGGAAAATAGGGCAAGTTAGACATGAACATTGGTTGCCCGGAATAAAATTCACTTGCCATCAGGTCTGTAGTTTTGTCCTCACATACAGCATTAGCAAAATTCGAAGCGAATGATTGCAGTAAGGATTGATTAATCAACATTCTAATCTTATGTTTTCCTTAACAAAGTCATTTGAAGACATACCCCTGTATTCTAAAAGCTCATTCACACTCAAAGACTGGAGGTTCACGCCCGTATTCTGAAAGCTCACTCACACTCAATGAGTGGAAGTTCAATCTGAGCTTCTCTCGAGTGTCAGTGCTGTTTTTGAATAGCTGGAGGGCTAGTGTCATACCTTACTATGTGACTACTCACCCTCCAGCTATTCAAAAACAGCGTTGACACTCAAGAGAAGCTCACATTGAACCTCCACTCATTGAGTGTGAGCGAGAGCTTTTAGAATACAGGCGTCAATCTGAGCTTCCCTTGAGTGTCAATGCTGTTTTTGAATAGCTGGAGGGTGAGTAGTCACATGGTACAGTACGACACTACCCCTCCAGCTATTCAAAAACAGCACTGACACTCAAGGGAAGATCAGATTGAACCTCCATTCATTGAGTGTGAGTGAGCTTTTAGAATACAGGCGTTAATCATAAAGTGTTGATTTCAGTAATTTACTAAATGAAGAATCATAAACAGAATGCAAAACATAAACAAGCAAAATAATTTAGTTTAGCAATTAACTTCTGACAAAACAACTTTTACTTGTAATTATTTTAATCCGTATAATTACTTTTACTATATCTCTGAAATGCTTATTCCAAAACAATCAAGTGATCGATGGACATTACGATCGGATGGTCAAGGTCTACTATACATCCCCAAAACAAACTGTAAGACTCTCGGAGATCGGGCTTTCGCACATGCTGCTCCACAATTATGGAATTCTCTGCCTTTGGATGTCAGGAACTGTGAAAACATTTCTGTGTTTAAGAAACGCTTGAAAACATTTCTTTTCAATAAGGCTTATAACCCTTTATAGGTTAAGACCATATTGGATTCTATCATTCTTATTATAGATACATACATTAATGTATATTCTAATTGTATACAATACCATGTTTTATATAGCATATTTAATTCTTAATATATTTAGATTTTATAATGTACAGCGCTTCGAGTATATAATATAACCTATGCGCTTTATTTAAATGAATAAATTATTATTATTATTATTATACTTTCCGTGGGCAAGCGTTAAGTTACATCACTGGCTTGGGATAATGGAGGATTCACAATATATTAATGGACATGTCATATATGAAAGTCCTGTATTATACTGTACCTCTTCCCATAAAGGATCCTGGGATGCTTTGCAAATTTTCGTTCTTGCTTTCCTCACGTAATGTCCATAATAATCAACTTCCAGAACCACGTAGCAATCTGGGAACAGAGTAAATAGTGTTCAGAGACAAAATGAGGGGACAAAAAATTGCCGCCGAACTCAATTTTTTGCCGACGAGGACTGCAATTCTAGTGCATATTTACAATTATATAAAATTGATGAAAGATAGAAACAGCTTTCTTACCAATTGGTTTCACAAAACCTTTTCCAGAATTGACCACCACATAGAGAACACCAGTAAATACATTATCATCTGAAAGAAAAACAAGACCGTGGTAATTATTAACCCATCAGAGTGCAGGACTCTTCCTTTGACGAGGCACTAGTCTTACTTCATGTTACTATCTCATTTTGTGTACTATTTTTGTTTGTACAAGTTTTGTGATTGGTAAATTTGCGAAAGTGAATGATGTACTAACATTGGGATGGCTACCAATCAAAGAAAGGATTGAGTTCAGTATCAGGCCCTAAGAGATGACAAATGGCCAAGTTATCTATCGCTCCAAGTCAAAAGAGTTTCAAGAGTTCTGCGTAGTAACTGTGACGGTGGTTTGAAAATTGAATATTCTAACATTGAAGACGGTTTTCAATCCAATGCTGCTAGAGTTTTTAATAGTCTTCCAGAACATTTGAAACTAATGGATTTTAAAAATTATAAGATTACTCTTAAAAGAATTTTATTAGATCAAGGTAGAGAAAGGATTGATAAGGATTGATTAATTTTCTCACATAACCTGATTTTAACCATTCAAATTTATTTACATTGTAGTTGTAGTTGTACAAGACAGTTGTAAAAATTTAGAAATAGTTTGTTAGTTTTTTTAAATGTATGGATGAAGAGCCATGTAATATGGATTGCGAATGTTTTAAATTGCTTAAAAAACGACCAATCTGATGAGTACAGTACATTGGCGAAGTAATTTTTAAAATAAACGTTGTATATAAGCCGAGGAAATCAAAGCTAAAGTTTATTTAAATTAACATGATTTTTTTATCACATATAAAGCCACCGACCCGGTAGTGATTTCCTTTTAAATTTAGCAAATCCACCCCTGCAGTACTGTATATTGAACCCTTCGACATTCCCAACTTTAGCAGTAATCATTCAAATTTTTCAAAAGAAACGGAGTCTTCATGTATACAGCTTATTAGTTTAAGAAAACAACATAGAAAACATACATATTCAGACTAACCGTCTTTTAAGTTTACACTACCAAGAGACCGCACCGTTCGCATCTAGAACCAAAAATGGCAAATATCTTACAATGCACGAAATCAATGTATATATATACAGAGAGACACACGACGAAAATAAAGCCTAGATACTAATATAATAATAATAATATTTAATATTTATATTGCGCGATTTCACATATGTATATGATCAAGTGCGCATTACAATTTTTCAGCGACCGGCAGGGGTGGAAAAAATATTTTACTCTCTGGGACCGCAAGAGAACATTGAACTTTTTCTACAAATAATCAAGTAAATCGACACTCGGCCACAGTAACTATGTGACACTAACGAGTTGTCCAACTGAATCTCATACTATAAGTTAACAGAAAAAATCATTTCAGTCCACTGAGAATCTTAATACCTCCACGAATAACATAAAACTAATGCATCAGGGATCTGATCTTAAGGTATAAATAAAGATGCAAAAAAGGGCACTACTAGCTAGGAGGAATTATCAGGAAAATTCATGCTCCCACCAGAAAATTTTCAAAATCAGATGTCTCAGATTGGCTAAAAATGCATTTGCCATACAACATTTGTTATTAAATTATTAGGATGGATGCACTTTTTCACATGAGGACTGGGTTCGAGTCACAATGAGGAATTCTCATTGAGATTTGAACCTGCGACCTTAGGGGTGAAAGGGAAGTGCGCTAACCACTTCGCCACCGAAGCCCCTAGATACTCATCTGTATCCCTCTTACCTCGAGACATGATTCTGCAAGACCCTGGATCTCCAAGGGACTCAAAGGACTCAGTGTTGCAGTTGCTGAAATAGATGTCAAATTTAGTGAGAATTTTTCTCAAATATTTATAAACATACACCCGTAAAAATCTCACATGTCTGCCAACAAGCCGTCAACAAGTTGTGTTCGCACAGCTTGTCCCAAGTTGCCAACAAGTTTGGAAGAAGCTGTTAACAACTTGTAACAAGCTTGATGGCATTATAAGACTTGTTGCAAGGTTGTTCCAACAAGTCCGATACAGTCATGAAATAACAATATATTTACAACCTTGTGTCGTCAACCTTGTAACATTCTTGTTATAACATGACTGTATCAGACTTGTTAGAACAACCTTGTGACAAGTCTGATAATGCCATCAAGCTTGTAACAATGCTGTTATTTTATCAAATTGCTACAAGGTTGTTGCTCACAACTTGTCAACAAGATGTGTTCGCAACAGGCGTGTAGCAAGCTTGTCAACAAGTTGTAACAATGCTGTTACTTTATCAAGTTGCAACAAGGTTGTCACTCACAATTTGTCCTGTCGAATTGCAGGACGATAACAAGTTGTTGGAACAATCAGTGAACCTCAATACCTAATTCAGTTTTCATAAAAGAGTAAAAATCAAGTCAACTTACAGTCCTTTTGTTGTGTTGAAATATCTCTCTTCCAGTCCCCTCTAGCGACATCCGACGAGAAAAGGAATCTGTGTGTCTGGTTGAAAACAAATACGGATTTAGTAGTCTGTGTGAATAGGGCTTTCTGCTGTCGCAAAATCAGAGAATGTGGTGGTAGGTCGTTTGCAGTTTGCCTCAATCGCTGTTTGCAGAACAAAGTCTGTAGAAATATTTAGTCTAATGTTTGCCTGGTTTAAGTTATTGCCTATTCTGCATTTTTGTTTGTTCCTAGTGGCGGTAGTGCGGTACTCATACAGGTTTAAATAGACAAATGTCGTAAAACCTAACCTCTGTACAACTATTGAAAATGCAGAATAGGCAGTGACTGAAATCAGTTCAACATTACACGAAATACTTTGTTCTGCTTGTTCTTCCGATTGAGACAAGTTGCAAACGACCTACAGTGCTTTATTCTCAGATTTTGCGATCAACAACGTCGCGTTATATAATTCACTGTTGACTATAGAACGTTTGCACATGACGTCACAGCCACCAAGTTGGTGTTCCAATTCAAGGGGATTGTCTGGAACACCAACATGGCCGCCATGGATTTTGTTGAGTTGGTCCCTGGGGAATGAGTGCAAACGCTCTGTTGAAGCCATATTTCAACGTGGGATGCAAATCACGAAAGAAGCAGAATAACTCATGTGCGTGATTTTCGGCCATGAACATACAGTAATAAGAAGCGGTTATTGCCAAAAGAGTTCAAAATTTACCCACCTTTCCAGATCTTCGATAAAGTGTCAGCGGCAAACTTGGTAATGCCAGCCATAACGCAGCTTCCTGAACAAGAAAAAGTTGAAAGCGTTAGTGCGTTGCACACCGCTGGTCTCAAATTAAAATTGGTAGTGTTTTCATATCCAAACCTGTTCAGCAAGTTTTCTCTTCAGTCTATCCCTACTTTTCTTGGTCGACTGTACCCCAGGTCGTGATGTCACAGATGTTAATGACGTTGTTGAGGGATGCCTACCGCCTGGACCTTTCTTTTTCTGTGGAAAACAAAGTACTTGTAAGAATGGGCAGGCAGATCATCTAGTTTTGAAAATCCCTAATGGGAGGTTGAATAAATCTACTACTATTATTACTGCTACTACTGCTACTGCTGCTGCTACTACTACTACTGCTGCTGCTGCTGCTGCTGCTGCTGCTGCTGCTGCTGCTGCTGCTGCTGCTGCTGCTGCTGCTGCTGCTGCTGCTGCTGCTACAGTTACCTCTAGCTGTTCAGAAGGAACGCCTTCACACATTCCTTGTTCTTGACGAATGTCAGCTTTAACAGCGGCAATCTTGGCTTTGAGATTATCGATGTCGATATTGCTCGTGACTGGTACTGTCTGGGCAGCTAATAAAAATATTCATTACAATATTATGGTCTGTTCATATGTCGACTCGAGTCGAATACAAAAAATGAATAGACTGGAGTCAACAGCCCCAAAGTGACTCAATTCGTTCATTTCTGCCGCAAATGACTTGGGTCAACTCAGCTACAACTTGTTCAGGATAACGAGTTACGAACAGCCTGTATTAGTCTTGTTGGAACAACTTGTAGCAAGTCTGTTACCGTCGTCAACCTTGTAACAAGGTGATGAAACAACTTGTCCCACACTTGTTACAACAACTGGGAACAAGCAGTGCGAATACATCCTGGTATCGGCTATTATCTACACTAACATACACGAAATTCGAAAACAATCAGAAAAACAAGCAAACATAATCAAGATTCTTACATTCAGAATTCGGTGTTGGATAAAATGAGATATCGTTTAACGAACAGTACCATTTGATAGCATATTGTTCACTTCTAAACAAACACACAAAATATGCATTATAATTTAGTTGCAGCAAGTCTGCCAACAAGCCGTCAACGAGTTGTGTTCGCACTGCTTGTCCCAAGTTGTCAACAAGTTTGGAACAAGCTGTTAACAACTTGTAACAACATTGTTGATATACTATCAGACTTGTTGCAAGATTGTTCCAACAAGTCCAATACAGACATGATATAACAATATTGTTACAACCTTGTGTCGTCAACATGTAACATTCTTGTTATATCATGATTGTATCAGACTTGTTAGAACAACCTTGTAACAAGTCTGATAATGCCATCAAGCTTGTGAACAGCTTGTTCCACACTTGTTACAACAACTTGGGACAAGCAGTGCGAACACAACTTGTCGACAGCTTGTGAACAGATTTGTAACAACTTGTTTGCAGACCTGTAACAACTTGTGCGTTTTTACGTTTGTACTGAAGCTGTGAGAAAGATATATTACCATTTAATACCCATACGTAAAACTCTACCTGTTTGAGACCTTTAATTTGGCCGAGATGAACAAATCGTCGAATAAGAATAGATGTCGATATTTTCGTTGTCCATCTAAATAAAAAATAGAAATCTGAAACATTGATCGTAGATTAGCGACCTACATACTGTACGTATAAAAACATCATAACTTGTCAACAAGATGTGTTCGCAACAGGCTTGTAGCAAGCTTGTAGCTACGAGGTCAAGTTGGATATTTCGGTCTAGTTCCTTTGATATCAATGTATTCTAAGATACTGTATGATACTTTCTTGTACGTGTTGGTGTTATGTACTCAGGTGAATATGATGTTTGTGATGTTACTCTGAGTGTATATCCACACCGGGCAAGCTGAAAAGTTTGCCTGACCACGGTGAGAATCGAACCCACGACCTTTGGGATCCCAAAGACCCCGCGACCTTTGGGATCCCAAAGGTCGTGGGTTCGATTCCCACCGTGGTCAGGCAAACTTTTCAGCTTGCCCGGTGTGGATGCACACTCAGAGTAACACCACAAACATCATGTTGTAACATGTTTTGTCATTTTATCGAAATGCCAGAGCCTGAAATAACGGCCGGCGGTCGGCGGTTTTCCGACCAAATTCCAGTTTTTCCGACCAAATGCTAAAATGATCGGAAGTTTCGTCCGGACAAATGTTGAAAAAAAAATGATAATCTGGGTTTTTTTAAATTATCGGGTCGGCGCTCAGCACAGTGAGTGCAGTATCTATAGTCTTAGATTATCTATACTAGTCTTATATAGAGTAATCAACTGGAAAGTTATCAAAGTTTCTTCGATCAGAGCATGCTTTAAACAAAGTTTAGTTAACTTAAATGTGTGACAGTGCATGAGTTAGGACTGCTTTCATTGTTGTTAATTTGACGACCTGGAAGATAAAGAATGCGTTTCCTCGACGTTTCGAACAAAGGCCCTTCATCAGGACAGTTAAATAGGCTGTTTATTACAACTAGAGTGATTTACTGCATGCTTGACATAATTTACTCAACGGAGGCGATCAAACTAAACTAAAAAATTTCCGACCAAATTTGAAAATTTCCGGTCAAATTTCATTTTGCTTGGAAGTTTTGCCGGACAAATTTAAAAATTATTTCAGGCTCTGAAATGCTACAAGGTTGTCACTCACAAACCGTTGACAACTTGTGAACAAGATGGGAACCATCACCCTCTCTGAGAACCTCCAATGTTGACCATACATACCAACTAACTCGACAACAAATGAATCCTTAAGCAATTTCC